CAGGTATATACATACCAAGTGGTCTTGTAAATATTTTACAGGATGAATAGTCCTATAATTAATTTTTCATTAAATGTAATGTAATTACAAAACTGTTGAAGTTAAGTTCAAAACATAATTATTAAAATATGTTGCAATCTTATTTAAAAAATTTATACTCTTGCAAACTTAGCTGTATATAATAACATATCATGTAGAAGTACATATAAAAAGGTTATGTGAAACTAGAAAACGTGCTTGAGAAGTTAATTACTTATACACATAAGTTTTGTATGTTATATTTCTTAATAAACGTGTTATACATTGAAATAAAATTAATTAAAAACACACTTATCTTTATATTATTAAAAAATATACAGTATATGTACTAAAAAATACCAACTTGTATTGTGAATCCATAATTTAAATGTTTAACTACATTAGAATGACACAATTTTATATTTTCCTGTTAACTTGTAAAATCAATAACACTAATATAAGCGCAGAATAAATTTTTCACAAAATATAAAACATTATTTTAAAGTGGTGAAGATAATAGCTATAAAAACGAAACTATCAAAAACTATACGTAAAAAGTTATACTGCCTCCCAAAAATAAAAATTTGTTAGTAACAAAACATGTTATAACTTTATTCTACTTTAAAAAATAGTAATATCTTAATCCTCAATTTTCAAACTTTTCATTAAATTATTTTAAATCCATTCAAAAAATATGTATAGATATGCCATCTAGATTGTTTTCAATCTAAAAATGGCAGACCAAATGATAGAATACTTTTTAATTATATTGTTTATTAAATTTTTTATTTATTACAAATATTGCATTTCACTTAATTTTATAATACAGATAACTAAACAGAGTTTCATTTTATGTTTAAAAATTTATTCTATAATGTATTTTTTCTGAAATTAACATTAGATTAGTATTAATTACAAACAGTAGAAAAGACAGATCTATTTGGAAAGGCACAATGTGGCATATGTTCTTAAAATATCGTATCAACAGAAATTAGAATCTAATCATAGTAAATACTGAAATATTACAATATAATAAGAAAATTCCAGTATAAATGATCAAAATTTCACAATATCACCTGTAGTGAATTATGTTTTTACAACATATAAAAGCTTAAAAGTAGTAGTCCTCTTTGTTCGAATGTCTGTGTAAGTATTAAAATGACATACTATTTAACTCTTGATATCTGAAATACTTTCAAACTTATTTTTATAAATTAGGTGTCCATGTCAAACATATTAATCTTCAAAATTTAATATAAAACTATTCGAATTATTTACGCACAGACATTTTTCTTAATTTTTTACACAAACATAATTTAAGGATAATTTTAAGAATTTTTAAATTACTACAAATTTTAATATTATTGACAGTTTAATGTTATTGACTTTTAAAAATATAGTTTTAGATAATATTCCTGTTTGTATTGCTGTTCAATATAATATAGCATAGTAAACTTCATCGGGCAAGTGTAGAATAAAATTTAGGCTGTAACAAGATAAAATATATAATTAAATCAGTGGCACTTTATTATTGACTTTACTCACTATAATTTAGCATAATTTACCTCATGATCATGATTTTCTTCTTTATTTCCATCATCATCATCACCAGAACTATCACCGCCTGAGCTATCTGCAGAATTACGTTGTTGATCCTTAAGCTGTTCATTTAAGTTATTTAAGCTGTTATTAGTAGGAGAAGTAGAGGCATCATGAATAGATGCTTTTACTTTACTGGCTGCATCGTAGCATTGCAAACAGACTCTAACTGCTTTTCCATTTCCTTGTCCAGGCAATAATAATTTTTTATTGCTGCAAGGTCCACACACAACAGCCCCACATTGTCTACAATGATGCTGAAAATGTTTTATTAAGATCGTAAGTATTTGGAAACTATAGTATTTACTGATTTTACCACCTATTGAAAGAAATATATTTACATTGTAAATATATTACATAATTTGTAAATATATATTACATAAATAAATAATTTATCATAACAATAATTACTTACTTTTTCTTAATAAATCTTCAATACATTTTGTAATGTGAGCCATCCACTCTTGTTTCTCTGTTGCAGTGGCAGCATAAACAGCAAATGACTTTGTTACTGTCTTTATGAGCCAACCATTGCGATATTCTATAAATAATGATAAACTAGTATACTATTTTTATATAATTATATACATTTGTAACATTGACTGTATTTGATATGCAATAGATAATCCAAAAATTAATCCTGAAATTATTGTAAATAATT